TATGAATAGTATGATGTGGGAGAAATAGGAAGTTAAACTCACATCTTACTGGCATTGCAGGGGATGGAGGGTAAAGTAAGTTTTTTCTAAAACATGACATTTCTCTAGTGTCTTGAAGGATAAGTAGGGATTGAAAACCTGAGTTGGAGATTTAGGACAATCATTCCAGGTAGGAGAAATAGTAGTAGTTAAAGCAGAGAGATGCGATTGTAGAGCTAAGAAATTTGTAAAAGGTACAGTTAGATACAGTATTGGAAAGTGCTGAGAGTAGAAAGGAGGGAGCTTATTGTAGAATGGTAGAATAATTATTATGGACTTGATTAGTGCTTTGTGTTTTGAATTAAGTAGAATTAAATGTTAACGGTTTTATTAAGGTATAACTGACATACAAAGGATGACACGTCTTTAATGCTTCATCAGTTTGAACCCGTGCATATGCCTTTCATAGTATCACCGCAATCAAGGTGACGGATATATCCAATAGGTGTGTGGGGGATGGAGTGGGAAACAACAGATTGAACAACATGGACCTCATTCTGTGGGCAGCCCCAAGAAGGGATGATGCACGCTTTGAGCAGCAGCACAGGACAGGAATTTTTGCTTAATCCATGATCATCTTTGATCTCCATATTTTCCTCCTCTTGAAATATCCTCTCGAGCAAATCATCCTGCATTCCCGTCTCTTCCAAACACTGTCTGGTACAACCTCATGCACTCAAACACAGCAGAGGTTATCAATTTTCCTCCATTTCTTTGTCTTCATCACACATGTCCATCAGGAGTGCCACTGCTCAATGCTAGCTGAGTGCACAGCTTGAATATCAGGAGCGCTAACCTGCTCACTTCTGTTGTTGCACTGGACGTGTATCTGGAGACTTTAGGGTTTCAGGGGAGTCACTGAACCCCCCTTTTATGACACCATATGCTTTTGGGAGAGCTGGTTTCTGTCTTTCACAAAATATGGAAAGTAGAACTAAGAAATTATTCCATATAATAAATATAAATATATATGAATGCACATAAATATATTAAATATTTTAATATGTTGCCCTTATTTTTGCTTAAGGGTGGTAGCAACTGGTCAGGTCACTAAATAAGCATTTTTCTGAAGCAGTTTTACATTTTTCAAGTTTGTTTATTTATTTATATATAAGCATTTTTTTGTTTTGTTTTGATTTGTTTTTGGTTTTTTGGCACCAGGTATCAAACTTGGGACCTTGTACTTGCAAGGCAGGCGCCAGAATCACTGAGCTAAATCCCTGCCCCTGGCATTTATTAAGCTTGTATACCTGAAACCACACTGGTTTCTGAAGAAACAGGAACTCTACCCTAACTCTGCTCTTGGGGAGACCACAGTCTTCCTCTAACAATGTTCCCTGAAGGAACATCTCTTCCTTTATTCTTTGTTTTTTGCAAATAAACTCTTTACCAATGTGATTTTATAACTTTATTTCACCCATTAATATGCTAAGTCACTGGCTTCCATGAGGAGAGTAACTGCAAGGAGACTTTCTACCTTCATTTCCGTTATCATTTAGGCGACAGGAGACAGAGTTGACATCTTGTGTTAATGGAGGCAGTGACCTTAGACCCAAAGGGGTAGCACCAGGCCTCCCTCCATTCCTTTGAAACTGTAAACAATACAGGAAATCTCAAATCTCACATTCCACGATGAGATGAGGCAAGGAAATAAAAAGCCTCCCACTGACAAAAAGAACAGAATTCCTTACCTTGCTGGAAGGCGTAAGGTAGCAGGCAGCTGATAAATTAATTACTTAGGGAGGACCAGAGACAGGTGGTAAGTTGTAGGAGGGTGAGTACAGCAGAAACCCAAGAAAAAACTCTGGGTCCAAGATGACAAAAGAAAGAACAATTGGACTTAGAGTGAGGTACACCTGTGAGCTTTGGGGTGGGAGCAGTTTGAAGACGATATTTATATGTGTATGTACTGTATATGTTATAAAATAAAATATAAATAACTGCAACATGTATTATTTGTAGAAAACATGAAAATGACAGAAAAAGGAGGAAGATATTAAGAAAATCAGCCCTAATCCCAACTTGCAAAAGTAATTGCTCTGGATAGTTTCGCAAGTTTCTTTACAGTCATTTTTTTTGTCATTTTGCAAAACATAGTCATGACCATACTGTAGATTACATTGGTCATGACTCTTCACTGAATGTTATACAAAATAAACATTTTGTCATCATTAAAATTTCAAGAAAGACTTTTGAAACTGAAAATAGTATCGAATCCATCCCAGCACAGTTAGTTTAACTTTCTGTTGTATTTGGATCCCAAAGTCTCCCCAAAAGCTCATCATGCAGAAGGCCTGGTTGCAGATGGGTTCCCAAGAAGTTGGATGATGAGCCTTCTGACTTTCTTTTGGGCTAATCCATTGACCAGTTCATAGCTGATTGGGCTACTGGAAGGTGGGTGAAGTTGGAAGAAGTAGGTCATGGAGGATTTGCCTTTGAAGGGTGGACCTTGTCCTCGGCCCCTTCCTGTCTGTCTGCTTCATTTCTCTTTCTTTCTGCTCCTTGGCTGCCCTGAGGTGAGCATCTTCCATTCCCTGTGCTATTTAGTCCTGACCTGTCTGCTTTGGAGTCAGGTGACCATGGACTGAAACCTCAGAAACCATGAGCCAAAGTAAGTCTTTCTGCCTTACATTGTGTGTATATGTCAGGCGTTTCATCCTAGCAACACAGAGATGACTAAGTCACCTTCCTAAAAAGGCAACTTAATATCTATTCCTAACCCTACTATAATGGAGATGTTGGTCTATAAAATATTTAATTTCATTAATATTTACTTTAAATATTTACTTTCATTAGATCAGTAGGAGATTTTTTTACAGAAAGAACTTTGCTCAACCCCTTCTTTCTGCTTTCCTCATTTCTAAGACATGCACATTCTTTTTACAGAGAGAGAGAGGAGAGAGAGAGAGAGATCTTTTCCTTCTTTTTGCACTGTCTTCCCTATAAAGCAGATGGTGCTTAAAACTTTCTCAACCCCTCACAAAGCTGTTCCTCTAGCAACCTTCCCTAAAAGACTGACTTTAAAAGAAGCAAAGATGTTCTTTGGATCCCCTGCTACTCAATCTGGCAGTCCAACCCAAAGTGTTCCTAATTTAACAGAAAGTAATAAACTTTATGACAAGAGAGTTTAATCATAGATGCAGTAATGTGATTAGGGTACAGGGGTGTGAGAAATAATTCTGAACTTGCTTTTCAGAAAATTTAATTTCTAATGAGGTTCAAAAATATCAATTAATTTCTAGTTCTAGCAGATACATCCTTACCACCTGCTGGGTTGCCACTAGGGAGTGGGATGGGGAAAAAGAGGCATCAGTAGGAGAGGTTCTAGGAAGCTGAGATGTTATCTATGCCAGAACAATGGCATAAGCAGAAGCCTTTAATGCTTTCAGCTGAGCCTCCTGATCATTAATTGAATTAACGACATATCATAAATATTTCTCATTCTAATACCGGTAGCTTGAAAAGGTTTTAAACAGATGTAGTACCTACCTAATCAAATTCCAGGGACAAGTCTTCCTGCTATGGGTGAGTCCTAAGTATACCACAGGATTTAATTTTCATTTGTGAAGACTGGGTTGTATTAGAGCCTAATGAGTTAGGTTGCATCATCAAGAACAGTGAGGTGTGCAATAATTTTAACTACAAATGAAGAAAATTAATGCAATCTCAGGCAAATTGTTTGTTGCTCCTGGTATCAGTGTGCTTATCTCTCCAGAATCTGGATAATGCATCTCTGCGGGGCTGTGCTAACTTGTGGCTTGGAGATAAACTCACACTGAGTGCATTGTCTGTAACTGCGTATTTCTTCAGAGCCTGTATGCTGAGCTCAGATTGAATGCTCAGTGCTGTGGTGCAGTACAAAGGCAGCACATGGTCTGCTATCTTCTACCAGACGCAGCACTCAAAAACCACGGAAATGGAATAAATGTAGTGTAAGCTTGCAGTTCGTCGTGCATCTATACATAACTAGAACATCTGCTTCCTCGAAGCTACATCCCACTTCCTCCCTCTGCATCGGACCACATATGAGACCAAAGACCACCCATTAGTAGCCCAATCCATTTGAGCCTTGGGGCATTCTGAGATTTTAGCTTTCATTTTCTATTGCTTTTATTTGGGTCTTTCCTCTCGTGCTGACTTGATCTCATACATCTTCAAACTTAGAAAGCAACAGACTGTGTGCTGTGTGTCCGTTTGGTAGTAGCTGTGTGTTCCAGGAAGATTCTAGAGGTTTGACAATGGAAGAAGGACAAACAGCTTGTACTGAAATGTGCTGAGCTGGCTTTTGGTCCTATGTGGGCACGGGGATGTGGACGCCCCCGGGGTTTTTCACGTTTTTGGATACCAGGTGCCTTCTCTTTCAGATAAGGTATTCATTTATGTGATCATGAGAATTCTGTATCGCTCTGAGCTTCAGGGTTTTCAAATAATATTAGAAAAATACTATTCTACCTACATTATAGGGATGCGGAGGACTGAATTGAGCACCATGGATAGTGTTTTTCCAGTACCTGTTAGTGGGTACTGCATGGCTCAGCATTACTATTTTAATGACTGGAGATCTGAATCGCTGGGGCAGAAGACACCGCAAACGCAATGCGTGGATCCTCGCACGCGTGTCTAGGAAGACACAGACTGGGTGGGCTGCCGCGTTCTTCCCTTCTCGGGAGGAAAGGTTGAGACCCCTCCCCGCATCTGCAGCCCCTTCCCGGAGCCAAGGTCGGCGTGGCCTTTCCGGGAGAGCGCGGGTTTCCGCAGACCAACTTTTAGCAGAGGAGCGAGCGCCGGCATGGATGAGGCCAGGCCAGCCGCAGGGGCGTGGGTGTGGGCGGGAACGCGCGTCCCTGGCTGCAGCACCGGCACCGGTGCGCGCGGGTCGGTCCCAGAGCCACTGAGCCAAGCCGCCGGACCGCCCCCGCGTTGCCATGACGACGGCGCGGGCCGCCTCTCGGGAGCCGAGTGGGCTCAGAGCGCTCGGGGCCCGGCTCCCTGGAGCCCCGCAGCCTCGGGTCCGCCGCTCCTCCGCACCCTCCTTCCCGGACAGCCGCGGGGACCATGGTGCAGCACTCGGGCTCCATCCAGTCCTTCAAGCAGCAGAAAGGTCAGTGGGGTGTGACCGGGCTGCTCCCTCGGGGCTGGAGATGCCCGGAGGATGCGGAGAAGTTGAGGGCATTTGAGCCACCAGCCTGGGCTCTGTGCCCCAGTTGGATCCGGCTTTCTGAGCCTCCGCGGGCTGGGGAGAAGCGAACTCTCCCTGCTGGACCCAATTCCCCTCTCTGGGCACTTGGCCTGTGAACGCTCTCAGTGGGGTTTGCGCAGCCGGCAGAGGCGGGCTGGGGGTCCCCTAGTGTGAGGCCGGCGTCCCCAGGCTTAGGGGGGTCCCTGGCACGCGTCCCTGAGTCCTAAAGCAGATGGGTTCGTGGGGGATTCCAGAAGTTGGCCTGTCTCAGTAGAGTTATAACTTCCTAGGAGAACTTTATTTGGGGTCCCATTCCCATATTTGAGTATGGGCTTAGGGTTTTGTGGTCGTTCCCCCTCTCCCCTGGAGGCTTTGCTTTGTCAGAATTTTTGCTTCTCCTTCAAGTGAGTGGTCAGATGCAGGTCCGTGGGCAGATCAAGAATTCTTCCAAGTTCGTCAGACTCTCTGGTCCTTGCTCTTCACGCTGTTTCGGATTTTTATAAAGTACGTTTATTCTGAGATACATGCAGTGCTCTGGAGTTTGAGTGTGGGAAAAGGGGTTACTGAGCAACATAATTGCCATTTACTGAATCAACAATAGTAATTATGCAGTGGTTGACCAAGTAGTAACCGTGATATATGAAGTCTGGAATAGTAGGTTTGTTTATTCAAAGTAGGTATTTATTTAAATATTCCTGCTCCCCGTTCTACATTTTATTTACCTCTTCAACAGATGGTTCCATAGAGATCTTTGACTTTGCTTTTAAACAAAAACTTGATGAAAGCATCTCAGGTGCTTTAGCAGGAGTCCTTTCAAAAGGTGGAGTATTGGACTGAAAGTTCTTCCAATTCTGTAATTCTAGACTGTAAGTGCAAGTGCTCTACGACCTGTCAAATAAGTGTTGGGATTGGGAGTGATGTCAGAATCTATTGGACTAAGCAAAAATTTCAGCTAGGATGCAAGCCTTCGTCAAGGCAAATGTTCCAAAGGAAAATGGAATCACGTGAAGAAGTTTTGTTCTCTCAATCCTTATTTTAAACATACAGACTTTAACAAAGAATATAAAGATTATAGGAATTTTGCAAGAGCCTGAGACAATTAATATCCTCTTCCTTTGCTGCATGACTATGAATGAATCATTTCTGGATCTGCAGCCCTCACATGTCCCACAACAACTTATCAAAGTGTGGTGTGTTTAAGGAGCAAATAATTGCTAACTTTAGTGTCAATTGCCATTACTCAAAGCGGGGAAGTGAGTGGTTCAAAATATGCAAGTTCTGGCACGTCATATTGTTTCTTCTATGATGCAGGATGAGCCATTTGTTTTTAAAGCTTCTTTTAGATTTTGGCACAAAAGGCGACTCTACCCAAAGGATAACATGGACAGGCAGAGGGGTGGGCAGCAGGATTAGTTCATGGCTAACTGGCTCAGGTTAATTGCTTCTTGCTCTTGCAGGGGCATCACAACAAGTCAGAACAAATTAAGGATTAGCCACTTAAAATTTTCAAATAAGAAGAAGCAGAAAGCTACTCTGGGTGCTTTCTGCCCCAGAGACCTTTGAGGCATGCTTTTCTCCATAACGCTCCAAATTAAAGTTGAGAAAACTCTATGCTCACTCTAAACTCCTAGATTTTAGACTTCTCTTTCTAGCTGGCTAAATAAATTTCAGGAGATGATTTGACCTCTTCGGGCTTTGCTTCATATTTCATATGAAGACCTTGGAGCCTGACCCTAGAGTCTGCCCCCTGTCTCCTGTTGTCATATGTGAGGGGACAGGTGACAATAAGAAGAGAGAGATGAATTTTTCCTCAGGCGGGGAGAGAGGAAAACTCACTTTTCATTCCTGTTTAGCTCAGTAATCCAGTAAAGGAATTCTGTTTTGTTTTAATCAAGTGAGTTTCATGTCTTAAAAAAATAAAAACAGATTTAAACTTTATAATACCCAGAAAAATTACTGAGATATTCTTAAAACATGTTCATTATAGTTCTTTTAATTCTATCACTTCCTTTTGCCTTTGGCTTACTCAGTTTTATTACTTTAGGATTCATCTTAAGAAAACAGTGGGGTTCAGTCTAAGGATGGCTCTTTAAAACGGTCTTCAGTGACAATGACAAACTCTATGCAGTTCATACCCCTGCCCTTGGGGAAGCATGATTAAGTGCTTAATCATTTAAGATCATTTAAAATTTCAGTACAAGGGTGAAAAATAAGAACCAAGAGAGGCTATGTAAAGGTGCAAATCTCCAATGATGAATGTCATTCTATTGTATACCTAAAATGTACCAATGGTTAGAATGAATAATCGATAACGCAAAATAGGAAGAAAAGGTCCAAAGGGGTCGGGGTAGTGGGAGGGGCAGGGGAAAGGAAAGAAGGGAAAGGAAAAATGCTGGGAAAAATGGAAATAAAGTCTTTGTAAATAGGGAAGGGTGGAGGGGGTAAAGGGAGGGCTAGGAATGGGGAAAAAATAAGAACCAAGATGCATTATGTAAAGGTACAATTCCCAATGAGAAATGTAATTGTGTTTTATACCTAAAATGTACCAATAAAAGAATTTAATTAAGAAAATTTTCAGTACAAAGTATTAGAGATCATTTGCTGGAGAATCACTCTGCAGTGACCAAATTATGCCCATCTGCCTGGGATGGTGCTCTGTGGTCTTCAGAACTCTCCAGAATATTTTCCCTCCAGAACCTGGCACAACAGAGTTCTTCCACAGAGAAGGTGGCCCAGTAGGAAGCCCAGAGGTCTGCTGTCTTCATAAGCAATATAGACCACTCTGCATCTTTTTTGGAAAACGTTGCCATTTTGTTTCTTGACAGCGCAGGTTGTGTTTGTCAGAAGGCATGCGCGTATCTTCGTGAATTTGATTTCCACTTAAAGTTTTAGGCTGTGCTGTAGAAAGTTGGAATAAGTTAGGAAAAACAAAGTGCAGATTATAAGCCATCGTGGGAAGTGAGGGGAAGGTGCTCACTTCTGTTGTCCCAAGGGTGATATGCCAGATATTTTGGTTACAGATGCCTGGGAGTGCATTTGCTGTTGCCTTGGCACATCCCGGAGGAGCACATCAGCTGGCAAATTAGTAGTGCTTTCCACAGAAAGTCCAGCCTGGCTTCCTGTGTTTTGCTCAATTTATGAAGGACTTGTGTGGTTATATAAGGGTGGCTGAGAAAAGGCCAGTGATATTTCTGGCTTCTAGGGGCTGCTTATTTACCAGGACAGCTACCAAATCTTCCAGGGAAACCATGGGTCACATCAAACATAGCTGGTCCCAAATGTCTTGGTTTCATGGAATTAGCAGAACCTGTGAAGTATACATCACTATCCTGAAAGACCCTTTGGTCAAACATCTGAAGAGTGTTTAAAAATTCTTCAGAACCAATCACTTCCTACTCAAATGAGTGGTTTAACAATAATGACTTTTATGCTTCTGTGAGATTGAGCACTGTAAAGCACATTCCTTTTTTCTCCTGTGAATAAGTTATCTGCTATGGCAGGGACTCACCTGCAAACCTCAGACCGGTTCCCAGTTCTGTCCCCACTCGATATTGCATGGTACCCAGAGGCAATGTCCTGCGAAAATACCTAGTCTCGGAATCTTTGCTGCTTGCTCTTTAAGTCTGCTCCTCTCTTCCTCACTGACATCTTTGACACCCCTAACCTTCCTATACCCTTACCTCAGAGAAGCCAGAAAAATATCTGCAGCCATTTGTACAGTGAAAGAAATTCAGGCATGCATGGGTGCTCTCCCTTGTATTTTCATGGTCTGCTCTTTTATTTATGACTGAAGGAATTACCTCTTGTTAAAATAATTATGAGTTATATGAGCAAGGAGACATGGGCAGATGTTTTAGAGCCAGAGCTTGCACTTGTCTTCGACTGGGGCTAAACATACAGCTGGGTCAGCCGGAAGAATTGAGTGTTTAATGTCGTATGGAGTCTTCAGGTCTTCTCTACTCTTCCAACTTCACCATCTCTTTCGTTCTTCACAGGAAATTTCCAAGCTACTTCCAACTCTAGTTTCCCACTGACCATCTCCTAGGAAATGTAAGCCAAACTACGAAAATAGAATAGAGGAATTTTAATCCAGAAATGTTTTTAAAAATTGGACTTGAGCTATTTCTTTAAAACTCCTATGTATCTCAAATACCTCTATGAAGTTAAAGTTAATACTTCATTAGGAACACTGATATTTAAAATAATAGTTTTGAATTAATAATAATATATTTTATCAGATATGTGTGTATGCTCTAATTAACAATAAAGACAAGGAGTGAAGCTTAAAATAAGTTCCACCCCAAGTAATCAAAACTTGAAAATGTGATTATTTTGAAAGGGCCTGAAGTTCAGGTACTGAAAGAGCTCATTCCTTGAACGTGCTGCGTAGAATGCTGACGTTTGCACTTGAAGCTGGGATCTAGCATCGTGTTCTGCACATGGTTGCAACAACAAAAAAAGAATTGGGCATTGATGATTTTATAAATTAACAAAAGAAATTCAACCCTTTAAAAATCAAAGAAAAGCCCAACATTCTGTTCATTACTTTAGTATTTTATAAATGCTCATGTTTCTAAAATATTTATATAAAGTTATGGCTTAGTGTAATAAAATTGTATCTTGGTTCAAGAGTACTAACTCAGGGTCTCTTCCTGAATCCTGTTTCCAGCACTGACTTGGAGCATTTGCCTTTTCTGAGCCTTGGGCTCCTCGTGAGACAGTCATGCTCAGCTCTCAGGGGTGCAGTGAGTGAAACAATGCAAAAGCAACAGCAGCAACTACCCTTGTGTGGATACTGCCACGCACTGCCCCAAAAGCTGAAATGTGCACTGCGTTATTTTCCATTTCCCACAGTTTCGATAACTGTATTGTTTTCCCTCTGTTCAATTTAAGGGACTTGAAGTTTTGATAAATTACTGCAT